AAAAAAAAAAAAAAAAAAGGAAAAAAAAATGTGTAGATGTCAGAATTCCAAGTTTGATGTAAGGCAATGAGGAGAGTCACCTCCAGGTCTCTACCGCGTGTATATTTAAGAGCGAACACAGGCTTGGAAGCCCATGTATGTACTTGGGCCAGTAATGATCCCCACACCTCTTTGTTGGTGGGTCATCTGGTATCTGTATCACATACCTCTGTATCACATACCTCTTCCTCATTTCCCTGGCACAGTCAGAGACTGTTCTAGGCTCTGAAAACTGCTGAGGTACCATTTCCAATAAGCCTGTCTACATTTCAAGCATGAGCCTTGCCCTCCTGGCTTTGAAATATTATATATCAAAGTAAATATTTGATGATGCTTTTTCTTAGGAGCAGGGGGAAAAAATTTTAAAAACAAGGACAACCCATTGTTTCTTTCACATCTGTATTGCCTTGGGACAAGTGTCTTGGTTTGGCCTCAATGTTTTTCTTTCATCTACCTCTCCATTTCTTATTATTCAGCTTAACAGAGGGTAGACAGTGACTGGACATTTTTTATAAATATTAAAGCATTTATTCTCAAGTTAGTACTGCTATGTCATTTTAAAGAAAGAGAGAAAGGAAAACAAAGGTCAACAAAAAATTCCCAATCTAAGGTATTTCCTCTGAACTCTAGTTGCTGTTTGATTTTGAATGGAAGCAGTGGCTGGTGAGTGAGTCTGAAAACAATGCTTGTAGAGTTGGGATTCCCTACGTTAAAGGTGATGAGGCTTGTCTGAGACCTGCTGCTTTCTTCATTCATAAAGAGACTGACTCAGGACCTCATTCCTAAGGTTCTCTGAAACGGGGACAAAGGATTCTCCAAGATTTGATTAGCTCTACTTCTGTGTTTGACTTCCTAGCCTATTCCTTGGTAATGGAAAGCAGATACTTGTTTCTTCAGAGGTGAGGTACTGCACTGAATCTCTTTAATGCTTGAGGACCGAGTGTTTCACACAGGACTTGTTAAATTACAAGTGTCAGAAGCGTGAAAGGAGAAGATGAGGCAGTAATGCATCAGCTCCTGTAACTGTAGAGTCCAGCAGCAAATCTAAATTCAGGGGAGGCTAGATCCGTGTCAATTCAGCAGTATGACTCCATGCACCTCTCTGCTTTAGTGGCTTCACATTTAGATGGACTTTTCCTATATGGTGGCAAAATGGCCACCAGGCAGTCAAGACCTGCAGTGACCAGCCTATCTCCCTAGGAAGGAGAGTGGCTTTCCCCATGGACCCAGCAAAATCTCAATATTTATTCTCATTGGCCAAGCTGAGGTCCCTTTCCATCCTTTGCACAAGTCACTGTGGCCCATGTGGGGAGAATTCATTGATTGGTCAGGCACTGGTCATATTCCAAGCTCTGGAATTAACAGCGGGTTATTCACTCAAACCTGGATTATGTGGATTGAGTATTCAAGAGGATTGGATCCTCAAAGGAAAACTGTGGTACAATTACTGGAAAAAGGGGGCACAGATTCTAAGAATTTTTTTTTTTTTATAATGCCCACTGCAAAGCCCCAGAACAATGCTTTGCATTGAAGATAATCTACACCCCTGCCATTGAATAGATTTTGTAGGCAAAACCTGGAATATCCCTAAAATAAAAAAGATTCTAATCCTGGTTCCGATACTGGTTAAATGTGCTACACTGAAAATCCTAAAACTTCAGCTTTCTCATCTGTAAAACTTGGGGCAAAACTTAACATATAATTTACTTCCACAGATACATTAGACAACACCAGCAAAGGAAGATGTAATACTTTAAAATTTTGAAAAATGCACAGTTCTGGCCAGGCGTGGTGGCTCATGCCTGCAATCCCAGCACTTTGGGAGGTAAAGGCAGGCAGGTCACCTGAGGTCAGGAGTTTGAGACCAGCCTGACCAACATGGTGAAACCCCGTCTCTACTAAAAATACAAAACTTAGCCGGACATGGTAGTGGATGCCTGTAATCCCACCTACTCAGGAGGCTGAGGCATGAGAATTGCTTAAACCCAGGAGGCAGAGGTTGCAGTGAGCCGAGATTACACCACTGCACTCCAGCCTGGGGTACAGAGCGAGATTCTGTCTCCAAAAAAAAAAAAAAAAAAGCAC